AAAACAAAATTCGTACATTTTCGGCAACTCTTAAGCCTATGAAAGTTATTACGTCAGTTCTCATTTAGGGTAAAAATGAATTAGAAAAGTCTTGAACAATAGAGCACATATCAGTCTTTTGGAAGAATCACTTCAGTCATCCACTGAGAGATTATTTTGTTCCCCCCGCTGCCCAGGTTATTATTGTCTTTCTTCTATCTCCCCATCTTGTCTAGGACGACAACATAGAGGCAAGAGCTAAACTATTCAGATAGTTTCCATTCCAGGTGGTTTTTTGTTTATTACTCTATTGCCTTAGTGATTTCACACATCTCCTGTATGTTGTTTTGGCTTACTGTCTAGCTGTAAACACTTCTCACCCCAAGATATTGTGTCTTATCTTTATTTTGTGTTTTATTTCAATAAAGAACTACTTGCTGTACTCTACCATACTGGCTTTTGAGAAGTACTTACATGAGAAAACATCTTTCTGTTCTAGAAGGAACATACTTCACAGTTTGGTGTGATGTAAATATGTAGCTCTATAGCTGCATGTATGCCCACATGGTTATTTGTATAATAAATTACATGATTATCAAACTTCATTGTACTTGTTGTTGATACTGTGGAGAACACTGCCTGCTCTTTTTCATTCTGTGCTCTCTGTTGGATAGAGAAGAGGTCACAGTTAGTTTCTGCCTGGATTTAGTACCCAAATTAGTTATGTTTCTCCTGAACAATTTGTGTGTTTTTATGTCATACGTATTGTGAATTTTGTTTCACTCTTTGCTTCGCCAACTCAGCAGCTTCTAGAATTTTGAAATTATCCAGCTCATCACAGTGTATATTTTGATAAGCTCATCATATCTCTGGCTTCATTGTGCCCCTACTTTTATTTCCCAGTCTCTTGATTTCCTCTACTATTCATTACACATGCACATACACATATGTGTGTGCGCACGTGCATGTGTCCATATTCAACATATATATTATATATAGTGTTGTATATAATTATGTAATCCCTTGTAGACAAAAAAATGGGTATAAACTCTCAATAAATATTTATTCTGCCTGGAGAGAAGTGACTGGTGGTAACATTTGAACTGAGATCTCTGGAATTCTCACCAGGGAGGCATATGTGGTGGAGAAGAGCTTTCCCTGACTTCAGCATCCAACAGCATCTACACTTGTGTCTCAGCTGTGCTATTTACTGACTCCTTGGGAGAGTTTTCTTTCCTATCATCTAAGCCTCAGTTTTATTATATATAAAATGGGTATACTGTTAGTATATTTAAATGCTTAGTGTAGCATCTGGCATATATTGAAGCTCATTAAATGTTAGCTACTGTTTTTTATTTAGGAATGAGGATCAATTTAGGTGCAAGAAATAGCAGATACGAGAAAAAAAAACATGCAGATATAAAAGTGTGTGCATTGTCTAGGTATGGGAGCATGGAATCAGGAATAACCAAGCACAGGTCATATACAGGGTTTACATAAAAAGTGAGTCTGGGCAAGAACTGCTGGGTTGCAGATGTGATGGGAGTGTGTGTTGTATGTTGCTGAAAGCAGCAACCCAGATAGGGATTTTAAGATAAGGAGTGAGATAGGCGAATCTTGGTAGTGTGAGGCATGCATTTGTCTGTTCCCAATAGAGGAGGCAGTGGATCTTAAACTCCTGTGTACATGAAAATGACCCCGGGACCTTGTGTAAAGAACGGTTTTCTTGGCCCCGCCTTCAGTGTTCCAGATGGAATAGGTCTGTAATAAAATCTGAGATGCTGATTTTGAAATAAGCATACTAGGGGATTCCAACATAGGTCCTCCAGTGCACTTTTAGATGCACTGGAATAGTTGTTGTGGAAATGCTTGCTAACTAACTGGCAGGTATGATGAAGCTCAGTGGGAGGGAAGATGAAACAAACGACTTAGAGTAACATGTTTACGTTATTATTATTACGAGTTACAAATATCCATGCAAACCCTTTGTCTTCTTGCTATGGATAAATGAGCCCCAGTTATATAGATTTTTTTTTCAAACATAAAATATAATCAGAAATCATACAATTATCCTATTAGATTTGGAGAGCAGAGATTTGTCCTTATCTTCTAGATCTAGCAGGAGGCTAAGGGAAGGAAAAGCCTGTTATAAAGAGAGCAATAAAAGGGAGGAAGCAGAAGGGAAGGTACAGCAGCATGAGGTCAGGAAATCAGAAAGATGGAAATGGGAGAGGATAGGAAAAGAGCAGTCAGGTCTGATTGGTTGGGAATCTATTTGTGAAGAAACCCAGCCAGTATTTAACCTATTTTGAAAAAAAAAAAAATAGACTTCCAGCATTTTTAATTAGTGGATTGCTCGCTTTTGAAATTGCCCAGTTGGGAATACTCAAGTTTTGATGTGTTTTATCTGCCTGCTAATTAGCAGGCTGCTTGGGTGACCATCATTTTCCCTTTCTTCTGTGGACAGAAGATATATGTGAAGGTCTCTTGAAGCACTCTGGGTTAAAAAGCAGAAGACACTGCATATTATAAGAGTTCATACTAAATTTTAAATCAAATTCCTGTACAGCTTTTCTCCAACTTGATTCTTCCCTCTTTCTCTTTAATACAGATTTCCCTTTATGTAGAGAGTTCAACAATCTTGGCACAATTTGACCTTTGGGAACTATTTTTTTGTTATGTGGGGTAATTCTAACATTTGTAGTATGGTTAAATGCATCCCTGGTCTCTACCCACTTGATGCCAGTATCTCACACACCCCTGCCCCAAGTTGTGACTGCCAAATAATCTCCAGACACTGCCAAATATCAACTGGAAGTCAAAAATGCTCTCCAATGGAGAACCACCAGTCTGACATTAATTTGTATGGTGTCCTCTCCTCCTTGTCTTGGCTTACTTTTCATGCTGAAAATCCTCTTTGGAAAATTCAAATGGGGGGGTCTCCCCAGTGGCGCAGCAGTTGAGCGCTGGGTTGCGAAGCTGCCCACAGCCTCTGCAGCGCCGGTTTGATCCCCAGCCACCCGGCGAGGGTCCCATATGGCGCGCAAACCTCTCCTGCCGCCCGCTGCTCCCCTCAGCAGTGTATTTCATCAGTCTGCCTGTTCTGCTCTCCGCTCTGGCTCTGGTAAATTCTCTCACCCTCCCGCACTTCTGACTGTACCCAGTGCTTGTATAAATAAGTAAAATAAATAAATTTTTTAAAAAAAGAAAATTCAAATGATAAAATGGGTCTAAACAATATGAAATCTTACAGTAGATAGAAGAATCCAGTTCTTTCTTTACTCTTTGGCTAAATATAAGAGAGTGATATCACATTAATCTGACCTGGCTGTTTTAGGAAAAAAAGAAATCAAGTTATGCTACACTACTGACAACTTGCAGTGTCAAGAAATTTTATTATTTATACATTTTATTTTTTGCTGAAAATATTGGACACAGTTAAGGATGAAGAGAACCGTGTAGGCTACAAATCTTATTCGTGTGAGAATAGTAGTGTTGTCAGTCTCTTCTTCCTGTACTTCAGTTCAGCATATACCACATAGGCCAGGCTGTTGCGTTGTTAAACAGCAGATTTGGGCAAAGTGTTGCACTTTATCTCCAGACTGGATGTACTCCTCAGAGCTTTCCTGACAGCCCTTAAAGCCCAGAGTCTTTGATTTTAACTGGCCACAGGGGACATCTGTTTACAGTTGCATTATCTTCCAAAGCACTAACAAAAGGAACCAAAATAATGTTTGTTTAAAAAAAAGAATGAATTCAAGTTCAGTGTAATAGTTGCTTTTTGTTGTTGCTGTTTGTTCCATTCCTTAAAAGATATTCTAAAACACCATGTACTCCACTGTAACCAAAAATAAATCAATTAATTATCCTATGATTACTTCTGCTGATAATAAAATAGCAGTAATAAAAGGAATGACAGTAGTGCATCAGGAGAATAAACGGTATCACTGAAATGTTAGGAAACACAATAAATGGTATTATGTCTCCTGAACCAAAGTTTCACACCTCCTCCTCCAGTTCTGTCAGAGGAAGTTTGTGATGGCCGTCTGTTATCAACCGTGATTAAAATCATAGAACAGTGAAACTTTTTTTTTACTTATGAAGGGCCTTTCATCAAAAATCTCAAAGCCATTCTAAATATAGAGTGACTGATCTTTAAAACACATTTGTGTTTTAAGCAATTAATATCATAACTTAAGTGTTATGCTCTTCATTTGAGTTTTTGCCACTTGAAGAATTTATTGAGCAATTAGTAATTCAGTGGGCATTAGAGTTTTGTAGGCACAGAATTTATAATGCCCACTCTTTAATACTTCATGTAAGTCTCTTCATCATTTATCAAACTAAAACATTGCATTAGTAGTTTTCATTGTCACGTCCCAATGTCCAGATTAAGGTCTGTAGGCCAAGTAGTATGTCTATCAAAAAAATGGAAAACTAAAACAGTGCTAGCTTAAAAAATTCTTTAAAAAAATCCTAACATCCTTGTAATGCACTAATGGAAATAGACTACTGGATTTTTTTTTTTTTCTTTTTGGTCTGGTGTATTTTGTCACGTGTCTGTTTTCTGGTGTGGTAAACCTTGATTAGTGAACAGAAAGTATCCAAGAACACTCTGGTATGGAGGCTGCCGATGTTAGTATGAATATTTACCTTAATTTAACTTATTTAATATTACGGTTGTGTTAGTGTAGTTAGAATTTATTTTGTCCAAAAGATTTTAATAAAATTTTAGGTGCAGTTTCATGTTATGAAAGTTGAACCTGTGAAACATTGTGAAGTATGGAAGTAATTTTTATGTTCATACATCTGGTTCCTGAGGGTCCAGTTCATTTCTGCTGTGAATTTAAATGAGTTAATTTAAGTAGATGGGTCAGAAGCCACTATCATCATCGTAGCCCTGTGCCTGATTCTTAATTAAAGGCAACAGGAGATTAATTTGAAACATTAATTTAAAAGTGCACATACAAAAAGAAAGAATTATTGCAAGAAAGCCTAAAGAACTTTTCTCTTGTCCCTAGATGTAGAAGACAGAAGTAGCTCAGGGTCCTGGGGGAATGGAGGACATCCGAGCCCGTCCAGGGTAAGTACATCTAATCTTTTTTCCCTACAACCAGACATCTCATATATGTAAATTGTCAAAGTGAATGTGAGTTTCTCTCATACACACACACACACACACACCTGACAGATATATACACATACTAAGTTTAATGAGGATCAACTCCTCTTTGGAAATATTTTTCCATTGTTTTAATGGTTGCTGCTACAGAATTGGATACCTGTTATATTTCTGCCAACTGGAAGAAATATCCTTTATTATTTGGCCAAATTTTTCTGGTTATCTAGGTGATGTATTGGAGTAAAATGACAACTTTATAATTCTGAAGATACATAGTATGAGGTTCTTTTCTGCCCGTATAATCTACTTAACAAGTGTGAGTTGAATTTACTTTGTAAACAAGCGTATTATTCCACTAGTGAAGCCTTTAGTTACCAGTTGGGTACATTCATTTCTTTGGTCTCAAGTTTTTGCTTTTCTTTTTCCTCCATGCTTTGATAGGTTGTTTTGGTGTAATGGGGAGACCTTGGAATGGAGCTGGAGTGGAATTGTTAGGTTCTGTGTATTTTTGTATGTATATGTCCTTGAACATATGATTTTTGCCCCTTTGGTCCTCATTTTCTTAATTTATAAAATGAAGTCGTAGAACCAGAGGATCTTTTATGCTCCTTTCAACTTAACAATATGTATGTATGCATATGTGTGTATGTATCTGTGTATTTAATGGAATCATTTCTAGACCCTCTAAAGTCCATGTCAGCTTTTATAATATAATATCCCAAAGTGAAAATAGACCTAATACACATAGCAAAACAGACATCTTTCTCTTCCCGGCACCAGTTGTGTAGATGAAACCTCCTATGGGGATGGTAACATTTCTACTATAAGTGTTAGGATAAATTTGGGGCTGGCGTAAGAGACAAGAAAGATAATCATGCTGTCAAAATGACATTTCAGCAAGCCATGGCTCTCCATTTCCACCTGTTCTAATGGCTTGTGCTCCTCACTGTAGTTTTCAGATGCGGAAGCTCACCAGTAACTTTGTTGAACTTGCACCAGCTGTTGAGTTTGACATTATAATGCATTATATGGATGGGCTGAGGAAATTGTTCCTCCTCCTTGTATTACAGTCTGCACTTGCAGAAATAAATCCATTCCTCTTGACATCAAGTGTAGGAGATGACAGTACTTTTCTCTGTTGTTTAGTTCACTCTGACTTAATATCCAAAATATTTTTATTATGTTTCTGGAAACAAGGTCCATTTAGGATCATCCTGATTTTCATTAAATGTCCTGTCTCTCTTTTTTATTTTTGGGCATGTTGGTTTTGAATCAAAATTTTGTAATTTATATTTTCTAAATCTAGGGAGTTTGCATGAGAGATTATTGTGACTAATTTGTACCTGGACAATCTTGCTAAGTCTCTTCTTGCTTATCCTAAAAAGATATTAACAAGTATCTTGCAGTACTGTGCAGAGTTTTAAATTACATAATGTATATTAAATTTTTAGTATACTATTCTCTATGATAGAGGCTCTTAATAAATAATTAGTATTTTTTGCAATGCCTGATACAGAATGAGCATAAAATTCCTACTAAGGCTAGGTATTTAAAATGGTAATATCTTGTTATACATTGTCATATTGGCAGCATTAAGTTATAGTATCATTCAAATTAATTTTTATAAATGAAGAAGGTGGTTGAAAATGGGGAAGTTTGAATCACTAAGGGTGCTAGACATTCTCTGGTGAGATAACATGCATTTCATTGTTCATGCATTTCATTGTTTAATACAGCATTCGTCTTTTTTGTGTGGACAGATTCTGCCCTTTGGTTAACATGCCAACTAACACCTCTGAGTAAATTTGACTTAGACTTTATGGGCAGTGCAACCCAGCTGAGCAGAATCACTTTTTTTTTTCCTTTTTGGTCACTTTATGCACCTTCTTAGACTGAAATTTGACCCATCTAATTTAGAAGCGTTCAAATCATTCCTTTATTTTCTCAAATTCCTTCATTAAAAATAAGTGGGTGGACTTTCTTTTAAAGACATTGGTTTAATTTTAAATTTCAGTTCAAGCAATGGAAATTCATAGTATAGATTTTTGCCAAAATTTAATGTTTTTTTAAGACTTATTTATGCATACAAGAGCTGGGGTACAGGCCAAATATGTGGGGGGTGAGAGCATTCCCCAGAGACAGAGTGAGGAACAGAACAGGCAGACTGACTGAAATACACTGCTGAGGGGAGCAGTGGGCAAGACAGGAGAGGTCTGCTGCGCCATGTGGGTAGCTTCCTGGCCGGCTGTGGATCAAACTCATGCTACTGAGGCTGTGGATTGCTTCATAGTGCAGTGCTTAACCCCTTGCGCCACCAGGGAGGCCCAAAATCTAATGTTTTAAAACTGATTTTTGTGCATTATTTTGCCCAAGTCCAGAAATACTAATTTATGCTACAGTTTTGATGTTCATAGTTACATTGGAATATTTTTAACATTCTTATGTATTAATCATTTATGGAATGATCAAATTCTCTTACAACTATAGTAACAACTAGTACAAATTATTGAAATTTCAGTGTTATAAAGCCAGTATTGCTATTTAAATGATTCTACCTTCATCTTCTAAGAGCAACTAACAGAAGGCTATAGATAATTTTCCCTTAACACAATTTTGCTTTTTTAAAAAAAAAGTCTTGTCAATAATTTAATAATTACAATAGACTTTATATGTCAGTTGTTTTACATGCATTATTTCACTTAATCATGTCAACAACTTGATGCAGTTGGTGCACTATTATTATTCCCAACATTTCACAGCTCTGAAGAGGGAAAACAGAACTTTACAGATTCTAGGACTTTTTCTTACCCACTTATACCTGTGAAGATACAGGTTCTAGGGTAGAAAGGTAAACTGCAGAGGTGTGAATAGAAGGACTATATTTATGTGCTGATTTATTCATGTAAAAGTAAAACATATGCTGTTATTTTATTCACAGAACTATGGAGATGGGACTCCCTATGACCACATGACCAGCAGGGACCTTGGGTCACATGACAATCTTTCTCCACCTTTTGTCAATTCCAGAATACAAAGTAAGACTCGTTTTAAATTAATATCAATTTTGGGAAAGCTTTTATATTACCTTGGAAGGGAAAAGACAAACCCAGACAGGTGTTCTGTGTTTTGAAATTTGGGTCTTTAGCCAGTTCACGGTGGTGAATTTAAACTGCAGAAAACTATCAACAGTCCATGCTTAGTAATTACACATAAAGGATGATGTTTTACAGCCATGTGGAATTACATAATTTCAGTGATCCTGAGTCTACATGGGAATTTTGTCCTTCTTAGACATAAAGCACTTTATCCCAACTTAAGCATTGCGACAATAATTTTCTAGGTTAAGTGTGGTGAAGTTAAAGTGGTGATTATTTATAATAAAGACACCAGTGGGCTTGTCTGCTGGCAATTATATATGCTTATATACAGTCATTCATACATACATGTGTGTATGTATATAGTCAGTGTTAGTTTTGAATTTTTATCAAAGAAGTTATGAAGCCCCTTTAATCAGAGTAGTGTGTTTAAGTGGAATTGTAAATTCTGGTTGTGTATTGATTATCAACTTTAGTACCAAGAGTCCAGTTAATCCCCATCCTTTGTCACTGAACACAAGTGACATGCAGTTGGAGATGGATGGTCTGTGAGTTTCCAGCATGCCCTTCATATTGCCCTCTTTAGCATAATTTACTTCTTTGACTATTCAACAGTTGCCTGAATAGTGGAAAAGATAATTCATAAAGACTTAAAAGGACATGACTGGTGACTTTGGGTTTCATTGAAAAAACTATCTTTGTTCTAGTAAATGTGCGTTTTTTTAACAATATTAGTAAATCCCTCAACTTGGCCAAATACTATTGCAAATTCATCAGTAAAAGAAGCTAAATTTCTTGGCACAAGCTGTTGGACCATACTTCAAGGAAAACACACAGCCATAATTATATCATTCTGAAACCATAATTGCAAATGCTCCTAAAGAATGTTCCGATTTTTAATTCTTGAAAGCTATACTTGTTATTTAAGGTATACATCGTTCTTGAATTTCAGTCATATTTTTAAAAAATCACTATCAAATCCATCAAAAAGGGATTTTAACAATTTATTTTTAATGGGCAATAGCTTGTGATTATGACTTGAAGTGTTATCCCAACTTTGAGAACCAGGAGACTGTGTTGGATCATAGTTCTTATATTTTGTGCTTTTTTTTTTTGCTTTAAATTTCATATTTATGTTTTAACTCTATAGCTAAAACAAAAATCCCAGTTTTTTGGTGAATTGTTGATAAAGAGGTACAACAGTTTCCTAGTTTCAGGACATACAGTTAGTTACAGATGATTAGGTATCTTTGTCAACTTAGATTCTAAAGAACAGCTTCATATGCTTAATAATAATAGCAGTAATTTGAAATTCTAACACCATTGCTTCTCTAGCCTCACCCAACTTTATAAAATACAATGAAAGATTAATTTAAAATAATAATCTTGAGCAGTAGCACCTAATATTAAAGAAATTCCTCAGATTTTAAAACTACCCTCGGATGAACTCTAAAAAGTAAAAACAATAAGTAAATCACTACTAATTTTTTAGAAGTTTATTTTACATGAATGGAAAAGTTTCCTAAAGAACAGTTTGATAAATAAATATTACAGAATATGCCAAATGATATAAAGATACTAAATAATTGTTCTTGTTCATGTGTCCTCATGGGTAACTGCTTTACCAACCAAATTCGTTTTTTCAATCCAAATAGTATTTAAAATATACGTGGGCCCAGAGTCTACAGCTAGGGCGGAGAGAGCTGACTCTTTTCAGTTAGTTGTTGTTTAAGCTGAAAGTCCATGTCAGCTGTGTTCTTTTATCCTGTCTGCCCTCCTTCCCATTAAACTCTTAAATATGGAGGCTAAGACAGTCTCTTGCATTGTGGTAGGAAATGCTACTATGTCCGGGAGGCTCCCACCCACTGTTCCCTATGAAAGGACTTCTCTGTTAGATAAGCTGTCTGGTCTGAAACATGGCTCTTTATTGTTTACAAACTGCTACATTTTCCACCTCAAGCAGATTTTTGCACAGAAAAGAATTGTGCTTGGGCTAAATGGTTTATCTGACATTAACAGTGCAGTGTCAGACTGGGGTCAGGGGAGTCGCCCTCAGAGTGAGAGGCCATGGTGCAGTGTGCAAAAGAAAAAGGAAAAAGCAAGAAAAAGACATTTAAACAACTCTGAAATACCTTGCATTTTTAGTTTGGAGAAGAATTTTTTAAAAATATTTTTTTGAGAACTGACTATGATGTTGCATTAAAAACTCTTCCCACCGCTATAATTTCTCACATCCCAGACGCCTCCTTGATTGGCTTGAGTATCTAAGGCTAGAGTCAGGGAACAAAGATTCTCATTGATTTTACCCAAGCTGCTGTTTATTTAAAATGAAACCACTTTTGAGATGAGCCATGCTTGGTGTTTTGCTGTACCTTTACAAAGAGAAGATAGATCGTTTTAAAGAAATTAAAGACAGTTTACAAATGGGGACAAAGGCAAAATAAGATCTATTAGTGTAACCAACAATTTGAACTCACTGAGTGTATTCTCATATACTTGTGCTATATTCTGAATGTTCTTTGTGTCCAAATCCATATCCTGTGTTATGATCTTAGTGGACGTTTTAAAGTTTCTGACAATTCAGTATGCACTCAGATTCTTTAGTTTTTATTAAAACGGCAAAGGATTTCTTTACATGTCAAAGGCTTAATTCTGATGTGATGTCACATTAGGGAAAAGCAATAGCATCAGAAATAAATCAGCCACTTTATTGGACCAGATTCTCTATTGTCAAATCAATCAAGCCTGTGACTGAATTAGGCGTCTGCTACAGAAATAAGTGACACTAATTTTACAGGAAAGAGTTATTAACTGCAGATGACCTGGTTTTTTTTAAGTAAACTGTTCACTTAGTGAGGTTTTATTTTATTGCACAGATAGAAAAAAAATGAACCACTCTTTCCTTTTGGGACTGAATTACTATATATTTTGTTTTTTATGGCAGTACACTATTTTGGAGAAATGATGCACATTGCTTACCTATTTGCTCATAAACTTTTTACTGTTAACAACACCCTTTATTACAACTCTGAACTTTTTGATTTCACAAGTGGTTTTGCATAAATGCTACATTCTTCATGATGTAATATTTATGTAGCATCACCAAAACTCAATTTATTTGTGTAGCTCAAACTTATGCAAAATGGGATAAAAAAGAGATAGATTATCTCCATTAATTCTTTGGAAATAAGCTTGCATATCTGAATACAATATCCTATTTGATAGTATGCGAATCCCTAAACTAAAAATAAAAAAATACAAAAATCCTTGCCTCTATTCATGCACACACACACACACACAAACACATACTCATGCCTATTATTCTAGAAGGATTAATGATGTTTCTTGGCTTAGGAAGTTGTGCTACTGCTTCCATTGCTATCTTTAGTGATATTTCCCATACAAGGTTTTGAGAATTGATATTTTGTAAATCCTATAAAGAAAAATGTAACTGAAATAAACAAAAAAGACCCCAATTTTTTTTAAAAAAAGTTAGTGTGCATGGCATTTTGCTTTTCTTTTGGTGTGGAGGAGTTTAGAGGAGTTGAGAGATTTTAGCACTGACTCATCTAGCTGACTGCCTAAATTGATAATTCCTGTACCCTTTTACCTGACATTTCCTGAGTCCTCACTCATTACTTTCTTTGGGTAGAGACAAGCCAATTTGCATTTTTACTTTGAAATTTCATGTTCTGTTTTTCTATATGGAGAAAATAAAACATTTCTTCCTTGGGACTACTTCTGATTATCAGTGATGATAATGTACACTTGATCTGTTAGAAACTTGTTCGCTGCCGATTTTAAACATTTTGATTAAAACTTTACAGGTGGTCAGTGGGTAGATTTCAGAATATGCTAATGGGACAGAGGGGCCATGGTTCTTAGTCTTGTCTTTTTAAGAGGATTATATGCAGTCAAATAGTTTGAAAATCCTGGCAAGAGCTATAAGCAGAGTATGGATTTTGTTTAACATTCCTGTTTGTTTGGATTTTTTTTGGCCCAACATTAAACTTTTGCAGGTAATTGTTCAAATATTTTTACAATGGTAGACAATATATTTTCTAGCTAAAAGTCTTTGATCCAAGAAAGGATCTAAGCATGCATTTTCCTTCTATTGTTCCACAGTCTTAATTGAAAACCAGATTTTTTGAGTAAGCAAGTTGCCAATAAGATTATAGATGTGGATTGGTAACTGAAGGATGTGAAAAGTGATACTTTTATGTGGTTGGGTGCAGCTTAGTTCAACATCAGCTGCTGTGTTTTTACATGTCCCATTGTCACTAGTTCAGTTTCCTTATTGTGGTATTTGGTTCTAGTCCCACTATTGGTACACTACCAGTACAATAATTTCCCACTGTAAAGTGACTGGTTTCTACACTAGCTCAGTGGAACATTTTACTGCAGGATTAGATGGAGGTTTCAGGCAGAACTGAAGAAAGCTGCTGGCTTATAGGATGACCTTTGAATCTCATCTGGGTTAGCGGTTGATATTTTGATTTGGTTACTGTAGTCATATTGTGACAGCTGCTAGCTCATTATAATTCGGTTTCACCGCTCCGTTTGCCTAGCAGGAATATTTAGGTTTGTATTACTTCAAAGTGTTTATGGCTACCCAGAGTTTAGCCCAGCATAAAGGTGAAGTGTTGTGAGCATTTTGAAATCCCAGTGGCAAATCCAGTACCACAGTCTTCTTGTAAAACGAAGAATGTGAGCAAACGCTAATATACGGAGTTTTTCTCTTCATTGTAAAACTGGAAATACCCAAGGAAGAGGCTCTTACTAGGAAAACTGTTTTGAAAACCTTAAGTACAAGGGAAAAGAATGGTCACAAAGAAACAGTTTTCTCAAAGCATGGGTACGATTTCACTTGATCTCTTGGTCTGAAGTTTTTTCCCCATGCAAGAATGTAAATACCTGAATATAACAAAATGTATATAACA